TTTGTTGTAAACGAATCATTAATATTGGTGACACTAAGATCTAGCGATTTTTAGTTTGATAGTACCCGCAGTGCAATGTTGGTTGCCTAAGATCAGCAGTCACGTAGTTTGTAATCATTTAACACCACTACCGCCTATTGCGTTCTCTCCTTTATAGTGCTCACAACAATTGGTTGTCATTCTTCCAAGACGACTAAGTCAGTGAAATAAAATTGTTCGTTTTTGTTCTAAGGGTTGATGACTTTTTTGGTTTGTTGTATGTTTAGAATTCCATAGATATCTTGGCGAATGGTGCGCTGTAAATTTGGGATTGTTATTATTTGTCTCGTTGCCACTAACTTCACAAAAAGAAACTATCGCCTGTCTGAAATATATGAACGTAAACACTAAAGCGTCATAAATTTTATGATATATAGCCAAAATAACGTTAAAAGATGATGTAGTCTGGAATTCACACCAAATTCGACTATAAAATTAATTAGGAAGCTACTAAGAACAGTACTACAGACCATTCCAGAAGTAAATGAATTCAAGGGAAATTTGTGGGCTGTCGTCAATTTTACGACCTATTAGTATTCTAGGATTGAATAAATGTTTATATAAAGTGTTGCAAAATGTGTGATTAAACAAAAAACATTTAAAATCACGATTATCTCCGAAACCGTTGAATATAAGTATAGGAAACCTCTATATCAATCGACGCAGAATTTAATTCTACATATTCCTGACTAATAAAATTGTTGGTGTTCCATTTGAAAAAAAAAAGTTTTCAACCTTTGAAGATTACTGTATTGGCCGCAAAATTTTAAGGACCCTGTGCATAGCTGGGTCAAATGTGGCACATTTTCTATGAATACATAACATATAGTACTAAGAATGCATGTATGACATTTCCAGCTATACGGATGTTAGAGATATTTAATATTAATCGTGACATTGCACCTGCCAAAATTTTTAAAAAATCCAATTATCTCGAAAACTATCAATTTTCAAGACATGGATGTGGTAACAGAAGTTACTTAAAATAACTCCCAGAATAGGGTTGTCCACTATAAAAACAAACCATATACAAATTGTTGTTGAGTCAAAGATTTTATATAAAAGAACCTGCCTGTATAGTCAAATTTTAAATATATGACAAATTAGTGGTAGAAATAATTTATGAATTTTTGCGTTACTTAAAAACTAGTCTTACGTCGTAAGGGGCAATTGAACAAGAAGCTAGTAGCGATCCTATTACATAATTTTGAAGAAGAAGAAAATATGTCAAAATTGTCCATCAAACCCTGCTGCCCTGTTTCCTGTTTTTTAAACAAAAATTACACTAGTGACAGCAGTCTATCAATTAAGAGTATTTGTGATAGTTATTATTAATTTCCTGATTGTAATGGATTCAACAAAATTTAAGTGGTGTTNTAGATAAAGTTCACGTGTAGACCTAATTAATAAATTAATAAGTATTTTTATTTATTTTTATTTTGACAAGCTGTCATTTCGTTACAGATAAAAATAATGAGGCGAAATTATAGGGTCATAAAGAACTCGATGAGACCTTTAAAAAGAGGTATGGCATGACCCCTATCCCCTATTCAAATTTGGGGGTTTATTCTCTGCCCAGCTATGGAGATGAAAAAATACTGAAAAATAGTTCCTCCTCAAATCAAAAGTCAACGTATCCGAGCGTTTTCCCAGATTTTTATTTTAAACCAAAAAAATCGGGGTGAAAAGTTTCCATTGGCCCACCCTGTAGATATTAAAATAACTGGATTCATGCAGGGCTTGCATTTCAACATATCTATTTTCTTGGGACATTTAAAATCAAAACACTGAATAAAATAATTTTAAAAAGTAAAAAGTTAAAAATGTGTTATTTCATCGATTTGTAATGTTTCCTACTTTCTCAGGTAGGTAACAGAACTGTAACAAAACATAAATATCTGATTTGTTTATAAGCTAAACCGAAAAATATTGTGAATGAATGAAACACATACCCAGTTTTTTTAATTAATGGATATTGTTATACGATGTTTAATAATTGTGAAATATAAATGTTAATATACATTATGCCATTTAATATTCCCACTGTTGTTTCCATAAAACTAATGTGCGTATTTGAAATCACTGGGTGGAGTGGTAGTAAAACATTAAACTAAGTATAAAAGAATTTTTTTTTCTTTATAATTGTACAGAGCCTTCATAAACAATTACAAGCCACGTGACCAGTATTTTTTTTTTTTAGTAATTTTATTTCCTTCACGTTATTAAACTTCGGTAAAATTAAAAGTTATTAAAGTAATACTATCAAAATTTCATTAAAACACAACATTCTGTTTCACTGGCTGTGATTGGCGTAATTTTTCACAAAATATTATTCAACCAATCAGTGATCGCATTATCTGTAGACGTAACGGTTTGTCATTGTTCATTTTAAA